GGACTGGCTGACCCCTCCAGCTCTGCTGCCCTCCCTCCTGAGTGATGATTAGTGTGAGCCTCCAGCCCTTCAGGGGCTAATAAATCCACAGTTGCTGAATAACAAGGCAAGTCCAATTGCTTCCCAGGGCTCAGTGCTTCAAGCTAAATGTTAGATAACATATTACAGGCGGCTGTTTTTCCCTCAGTGCCAGCCCTGCCTGAAGAGTGAAAGCTAAGAGGAGGAAACATCCATCCCCCAGCTCCTCCATGGGGTGCAGGGGCTGGGGGAGTCCTGCTGCCACCGATCCCTCCTGAGCAGGACAGGAACAAGGGGCCCTCAGGTGCTTGGCCTACGGGGTTGACAGGCAGGAGAAAATTTCTCAGGTCCTTTTGCAAATTCCCTAGCAGCTGGGTGATGGGGACAAATCGGCCCACGGGGGGATTTTATTCCTCAACCAGAGAAAGGTTTGTGCATTTTTCCTTCCTGAAGCAATTGTATTTGTTCTCAAACCTGACGTGAACAAGACAGATGCAGCCAGGAGGTGAAGCTTTACACACCTTAGGGAATAGGCTGGTGCTTCCATAGCTTTCAGCCAGTCTCCCAGAATCATCCTCATCAAGATAAGAGGAAAGGTGGGTCTGATGGAGCCATCCTTGGGAAGAGGAGCCACGTGGTCTATGCTTGTGGTCAGTGAGCACAGACAGAGACCGAATAGATGCACAGGAGGAAATGCACATCCTGGGAAAGGCAGAAAGCTGGAGCCAAGGGGGATGACTCCGAATGTGCTCTGTGGGAACCTGAACCAGAAGCTTCTCTGATAACCAATATGCACTGGCATGTTTCCTGCCCTCTTCCCAAAGGCCAAAGGCGCCCAAGGTTGACTAAGCAGCAGGAGCTGTTGGCAGAGCAGTGCCAGGAAAGCAGGGATGCAGCTCTGGTGAGCTCCTCGAGGCAGCAGGAGGGAGGGGAGCCTGCCTGCAATGGGGGGGCTTTGGGTAGTCCTGGGACTTCAAAATGCATCTGAAAATTTTAGGCAAGCTGAAAACTTCAACTCTTTACAGGACAGGGTCCCCCTGTGGCTACTGTCCTCCCAAAAACAAGAGAGGGCTGCCCTCACCTGTCTTTTCCATAGCTGAGACAGCCTTCGGAGACTTTGCCTTCTGCCAAGGGGCATTTGCTCCCTGGTTCCTGCTGAGATCTCACTGCTCTTCCTCCCTCCATCTCTCACTTTTGCAGATATCCAGTTCAGCAGCCCAGCCCTTGCAGATCCTTTGGGGCTTCTCTGAGAACCCAGAGAGCCTGGCAGAGGTCAGGCTCTGCTTTCTGGACCAATGAGCTCTTATAGATTTGTAAATATGGTTTGGAAAAGGCTTCCTTTTACCCTGGTGAGAGGAGAAGCTGCTGGAGGGCAAGAGTGTATGGTGGAGCAGGCTGGGGACCAGGGTTCACCCCTTGCAGGCAGAACCCACTCCCTCATAGCAACCACAGCTGAATTCCCTCAAAAGGGGCTTTTGGCAGGGGAGTATGTGAGGATGGAGCTCAGCTGCTGCTGGCATCATCCAAGTTCTGCCTGGGATTTTTGAGGAGACTCTTCTTTCTCTAAAGTTTGGTTTTGGATTGTACTTTGCTGTCTGCTTTCAGTATTTTCCCCTGGTATTCCAGTATTTCCGTGCTCCTGGGCTCTCGGTAGCACAAGCACTATCTATCTCAGTTCTTTTTGCACTTTTCAACACTTGTTATGGATCTCTGCCAAGAAATCTGATAATTTTTTTCCCATTTAAGGGAAAGGATTTGGGGCCATAAAAGAAAATCTCCATTGTACCTAAAGTGTTTCCAGTCTGGAAAGAAAATCCCTGGGAACTAAGGGAATCCTTAAAGGGGCATAATAGGAAACACTCTGTAACAGAGACAGTTTATTGTGCACGATTGCCTTTCCCACTCCCGAGGATAAGTACAAGGCCCTTGGGCTACAAGAACAATATGGGTCATTGTTACATCTTAGAGTTCATTTTAAAATGTGAAACTCAGCAATGGGGAACCGGCCAAAACTCAGGGGCCACCAGAGGGGCTGTGCCCCTCTCTGTGGGAGACCCTGTGTCCCTCATGCCACCACTGTGACAGCGCTGAGTGCTGGTTCCCAGGCGAGCCAGGAGCCTCCCTTTTCTCACAGCCCTTTTTTTTCCTGTGACCAGTAAAACGATGTAAAGCAGCCTCCCCTCTTGCTTCGCAGGACGGACAGGAAGATGCCAGACTGCTGTACAGGCATGGGTGTTTGGGAAGATGTGACACTTTTCCTTATGCAGGCAGAGGAGTCACTGCAGATCAGCAGAGGGATAATTCCACATTCAGGCTCAGCCTATTTCCCTTTAATGTTGTAGCTCAACAAACACTGCCTTACAGACCTTTTCTGCCTGGCAGTGAAATCCAGATGTCTATTCCACTGACTGCAAGCCCAGGAGAACATTTATTTGCCGTACTCTGTGTATTTCCTCTAAAGTACTTGGGGTTTAAGGTGTTTCCTTTTCAATAACTGCTGTAAAACCTGGAGAGAATCAGGGTTTGCCACAAACTGCATCCAATCATTTGGCTGGCTCCATAGACTGGGGAAATAACAAACCATAAATTAAGTTTGCAAAACTCAAAGTACAAAAATATCAATTGAAAGGTGTATCCAATCCAAGAGTGGGTGAAATAACCTTGGAGAAGAGCGAGCAGGCTGCACATTTCTGAATCCTCAGGCCTGCACTGCCCCTTGCCAACAAACTCTCTGTGTGGGACATGACATGCTGCAGGGAACAGCCATCCTGGGGGTGGAAACATCCTATCCTCTCCCCAGATTCCTGGATTACCCCAGGCACAGCCAGCTGGAGGGGTTGTCCTGGGCAGGGCTCCCTCTCCCAGCTTCCACCAGTACCATTTTCAGTGCTGGCCCATGTGGAATTGAGAGCTCCCAGCAGTGCAGGAGCCTGTGCTCCCATGCTGCCCCTCCACGGGGCTCTCCAGCCTCTTGGCAGGACACGTGAATGGCAGTGGCAGGCGAGCAAGAACTGTGCAGGAGGACACAGATGCCCTGCTAATAAACTCGAGTTGCCTCTCTCCCAGTGATTTAACTGTGGTGAATGTGATGCATCTCCCTGCATTGGGCTACTTGTCGTTCTCCCTCCCAGCATCCTCCTCCCGTGTTTGTCACGAAGGGAGATAATGTACCCGTAGGCCAGTGCTGACAAACAAACTCTTGTTCTCCTACAGCACCTGCCAGCTGGAAGTTTCAAAGCACTTTGTAATCATTAACAGAGTTAGCTTCCTAGCCTTGATCAGGGGCTTAATCTCTGTTGTAAGAGGAGTAAAGTAGGGTCTGGAGGTGAAATGATGAAAAAGCAACAGAACAACTCTGGATACTGTCCTAATGTCTGTCCTGAACTGGAGGTTTTGGTGGGGTAGGAGCAGCTACTTCACTAGAGGAGCACTGGACTGGGATTAAGCTAATCGACAGGTTTTATTCCCAATTCTTCCTTCCACTTCCCCTCTGGGTGATCTTGCTTTTCTCTATCTTAATTTCCTCATCTCCAAAAGGAAGGTAGTGAGCCACTTCCTGTAAGAAATTTCTAAATATATAGATTATATGCAGTTGTGAGAGGTACTGGAGAAAAACGAACACTGTTTGGGATGTCAGAAGGTGACCTCTAAAGAAGATGTGGACAATCAAACACCAAAGATAACATGTAAAGCTGACAAAGTGTACACTGGGCAACAGGAGGCAGGCAGGGACTAGGGAGAGAAACACAGAAAGTGGGGAAAAGCAGCACTGAAAGTCTTTTTTTCCTAGTTAATCACATAAAATCAGACACCAGGCTCCTCTTTTAGAAACGTTGTAGCACGAATTGTCGATAGAGTCCAAGAGCCAGGTCAGCCTATGCAAGAGGAGAAGGGGCTAATCAGCACAGCCCTGTGCCTCTGGTACCAGCCCGAACAGGTGAACTGCATTAAGTGATGCTAATTGGTACTAATGGATCTCCGGGCTCCTAGTGAGGGCCGTTTTCCTTGGGGGGATTGAAGGAGGGAAGCAGGTAGGACGGACGGAGTGGCAGAGGAGCACTTTGTCTGCTGTGTGCTTGCCAGGAAAGTCACCGTTTTCTCCATTTCTGCTGTGTTTTCAGGTTAGTAAATGCTCCTTTACGTTATATTTATGGTCCCAATTGGCAGTAGAGATCCACTACTGTTCCTCCTCTCTGTTTCTACAAATATCTGCAACCATCCCGCGAACAATCTCGTTCCTTCAACGAGGGGCAGCCAGGGTGGGAGCGAGGGCCCGGTTCGCCCTCACCCGGGCGATGAGCAGCCTCCTTGAGCTCCGCTGCTCCCGGCTCAGCGAGGAACCGTCTGCGAGGCAACGGGGGCCCTGCTGGGCTGACTGGCGCTCTCCGCTCATCGCTTTTCTGTGGCACCAGCCCTCGCTCCTGTTTTCACGGGTGATGACACCGGGAGCTGGCGGCACAGCCCCCTCGCCTTAGGGAGGGAGGCTGCAGGTCCCCGGGAGGGTCTGCCCGGTGCCCCGGTGCGGAGCGGCCCCGGGGCGCTGCAATGCTGGGCTCCAGCTCACGGTGGAGCTGCCCTTCCTCCGGTCCGCCCCGAGCCCGCCTGCCCGCCCCGCGCCGGGACAGCCGCGCTCGGCAACGCCGGAGCTCCGGGCTGCACTTGTTGATCTCCGTTCCGAGGCAGCGGGAGGAAGCACCGGAGCTTTCCTTTGTGTCTGCACGGAGAGCGGGCTGGGGGCGGGGGCAGACGCGGCTCCGGCGCTGGCTGTAGGCAGGAGAGAGGAGCCGCAGCCGAGGGAAGGCCTTGGAAAGCTTCCTGCCCAAGGATACGATTTACCTCGTTTCCCTTCCCCTCCCCCTGGGCTCCGCGGACAGCCGGGAGCGCCGCCGCCATCCCTCCGCCTTGAGGCTGCCCGCGGGGGGATGCGAGCGGGGCCGCCCCTGCCGCCCGCCCCGCCGCAGGATGTAGCCGCCCTCGGCCCCGCACACCCCGCACCGCCTCGCTGGGAGCCCGCAGGAGGAGGTAGGTGAGGGCTGGGCTCGGGCCGAGACAGGGGAGCCTCTCCTCGTGTGCGGCGGCGGCCGGGAGGCAGAGGCGGGGGGTTCGTTTTTGGGGCTGGGGGGACCTGGGTCGGCGGGGACGGGGCCGAGCCCCGGGCTGTGCCGGCTGGGCACGGAGGAGCCGCTCTTGGCCGCGCCGGGGTTTCTCTTCGTGCCATCTTGTGTAAGCAACAGTGCTCGGGGCTGTCATGAGCCACCCGGCTCCCTAAGACAGGCTCGGGGTTTTTCCTTATTGCCGTTTTCGTTGCTTTCCCGGTTATGCAGAGGCCGGTGTGGGGGTGCGAGGGGAGTCCCTGGGCAGCCCAGAGAGGCAGAGCGCGTCGTTAGAGTGGCTGGAAATTCCCCCCTTTTTCCTGCCCCAGCTCTTTCCTCGGGAAATCCGCAAGGCTGGAGTTACTAAAAGCCTCCTCATCCCCCCCGCAGCCTACACGGCTGGGCAGGGCGGGGGGCACCGCCGGCTCCGAGGGAGGGGGCTGGCCCGCGGGGTCGTGGGGGCACCCGGGGTCCGGCGGGCCCGGGCGCTCCGGGCTGGGGGACGCGGTGCCAGCGCTCCCCTGGCTGGCGGCCCGGCGCCTTTTGGGGCGCTTCGCCCAGCGGTGCTCGGGGCCACCCCGTGCCCGCCCCGCCAGCCAGCAGAGGCTCCCGGGGCCGTGCCCGGTCTCCGCATCCCTCCCGGACGGGGCGTGCGGGGACCGCCGGGGCGGGGGGGACCCCCGGCCGCCGCCCGGGGGAGCTCGGCGGCGGCGCCCGGCCGCACGTGGGAGCGGGCGGGTCGGCCGGGCCGGGCGCGGTTCAGCACCGGCGGGCGGACAGCGCCGCCGCCCCCCCGCAGATTAGCGGGGCGGGCGGGGACCCACGCGCGGCCTCTCTTGCAGCTCTGGGGCATGGAGGGGAAGGAGAGGTGAGCAGAGCCGGCCCCCGCGCCCTGCCCCGCGCCGCACCTTGGAGCGTCCAGCCTGAGGGGGACCAGCGATGCCTCTGGGGATGAATAAGCATGGATCTCGCTCTACTACCTCTTTGCCTCCGGACCCCACCGAGATCGTCAGGAGCAAGGCCTGCTCCCGAAGGGTCAAGCTCAACGTGGGGGGGCTGGCCCACGAGGTTCTCTGGCGGACCTTGGACAGGTTGCCGCGGACCAGGCTGGGTAAGCTCAGAGACTGCAACACACACGACTCCCTCATGGAGATCTGTGATGACTACAACCTGGAGGAGAACGAGTACTTCTTTGACAGGCATCCCGGGGCATTCACCTCAATCTTGAACTTCTACCGTACTGGCAAGCTGCACATGATGGAGGAGATGTGCGCCTTGTCCTTCAGCCAGGAGCTGGACTACTGGGGGGTGGACGAGATCTACCTGGAGTCCTGCTGCCAGGCCCGCTACCACCAGAAGAAGGAGCAGATGAACGAGGAGCTGAAGAGAGAAGCTGAGACCCTGAGGGAAAGGGAAGGGGAGGAATTCGATAACACTTGCTGTGCTGAGAAAAGGAAAAAGCTCTGGGACCTCCTGGAGAAGCCCAACTCCTCCGTAGCGGCCAAGGTAAGAGTTCCACGTTTGTTCTCAAGTCTTGTCTCTACTGGTTTGTGGCTGGTGGTGCTTACATGAAGTGTTGTCCTGCTGCTCTTGCTTTAGTATCTGGGTTCTTGTGGCTGACCAGATGCTGCAAGTGAAGGGGAGAAAGGCCTCTCTGATGCAAATGAGTTTTATTGTATCTTTTTCTGGGTAATTTGGAGGTGATCTGGTTTAAACTTCCCTGTGACCACCTAAGCTGCTCAGTGTGGGGGAAGCTCCACTGAGCAGTGGGTCAGCAGGCAATGATTGCTGTGGCTGGAGGTTTTACACTTGTTATCCAGTGGTCTGTTTTGGTGCACTTTGTAGTAGAGATTTCTTTGGGCCTAAAACAAGCATGTCTCCTGCTGCTCAACCAAACTGGCCTTCAAGAAGAGGATATCTGCTCGAACTCTTAGACCCAGGTCCAATCAGGAAATAATGCCTTCCCTTCTGGGCTTAATTTAATTTTTTTCTGGTGAAATGCATCTCTTTAGTTATTTGTATCATGCAGTCCTAGGCTGCGGGTTTGCTAAAGCTGGTGTTTGAATGTCATCCTTTACCTGATTCCAGCTTATTTTAAGTCTTCCTGTGCAATACTGATGCAGCTCTGTCTCTGTCAATAGCTGAAGTGCTGCTTACTTTGAAGTTGGTACCAGTGCAACAGATCTATTTGAAGGCATTTTGAAGATAAGATCCATGTTGGGAGAAACCAATGTCAGAGTTGGCTCTGATAATTTAGCTGCCTCATGTTAGTCACATTTTCTTTAGTGAGGAAAATCTCTGTGAACACAGTGATTCAGTAACCATGGGGACAAAAGTGAAGGGGGAGAGGTTGAAAACTGTGGGATGAATAACTGAAAAGCATGAGAGACTGAGCAGTAGGGACCAAAACTTGAATTTTCTATGTACCCACGTCCTCACCGTATGGCAAAGTAGAAAGAGGGCCCAGCTACCTCTGTGATGCATCTCCCTGTTGCAAGATTTGTGAACACAAACCTTAGCTCTGTCCCTCAGGAACTCTGGCTTTAGTGGGCTTCTTGTGACAACAGACTTCTTTCCCTCTCTTTTTCTCTTCTCTGAATGCTGCTCGTCATGAACCAAGAGCGTGTGCGAAAGTTTGGGGAAGGGATTTTATGAAGTGTGGAGCTAACTTGGCTCATCCTGGCTAGGGATGGGAGAGGCATGGTCTGCCTGCTGAACCCATTATTACTTTTTTAATGACAAACGGAGCCCCAGAATGTCTTTTTCTCTCCAGTGGCACAGATGACACTGTGCTGAATGCATTAATAATTTATAAGGCTCCTTTGGCACAGTCCTGGAATCCTGCAACACAGGCCCTGGGCTTCACTGTCTGTGGCACTGACTCAAAATCCATTAGAGACTGTTGATGTTCATGATTTATTGTATATGAGCAGGGGTTATTCTTGCCAAATAAGTGTCTTTTGTGATTTATAAATGAAATACACTCTAGCTTCATTTTCTGAGAAAATTCTCGGAGTGAGTGCACTCGGCATTGCAGGCTCTGGATTAATTGAGAGCGAATGGTAATGCATCATTACCTTTAGCATTTAGAGCTGCCATTCTGTGCCTTCATTACTGCAATGAAAGTGGTGCTGTATGTTCTCAGACCTCAAATATTCCAGCAGTCCCCAAACACAGATTCCCCCTCATCTCAAGCGTAGCAGGGAAAACGGGCGTGAGGAACAATTAGCTTAGCAGGCAGGGACAGAAGCGTGGCTAAGCCTATTCTTTATCCGATTTGCTCCCTGCTGGTGGATAGCTTCTCCCTCGAGCCAGAGTATGCCCTTTGCTTTGATCACCTTCATGAAAATTCAATCCACATATTGAATAGGTTGGACTCACTCTTCAGCTTCTGATGGAAGGACATGGGGAGAGGGACTTGGCAGCCTGACCTGTTATCTGACCTATCCAGCTGTGCCCAGGCTCCCTTTTGGGCTGCGTTTGCTAAATCTGAGCCTCTGCCTGACAGCTCCTGGCCAGCTTTCCTCAGCTGGCACTGCGTGGAGCACTTTCGCTGAGGGCATGGGCCTCCGGGAACTTCTGTCACCTCTCCTAAAGCCAGACTTCATCTGCTTTGCCAGGTCTGAGAGCTCAAACTGTTCCTGTGGAAAGGGAACAAAGTGAACTGTTGTGAGGTTTAATGTCACACGAGGGCCTAAAACCACTGTTGGGGAAACCTGAACTACTGTTGCTTATTCTTTTTCTTCAGACTTGTGCAACTCAATGCAAAGGTATTTTCATGTAACAAACGGAACAATTACAAGATGCTTCTTCTCTTTAAGAAGTCAAGAAAATGGCTACAAATGCAGATTCTCCCCCAAAGCCATCACAGTCCCTCTGTAGTTGTGCCTGTTTTCTGACTCCTGCTCCAGCATGGGGGGCTTTGGCTGTCAGCACTGGCTGTATTTTAACATTTTCTGCACAGCGCCTGACCTGACCCCTCCATACCAGCTTACTGCAGAACTTCTCAGGGTTACAGTGGAACCAGTTAAATGCTGAGTGAGTTGTCTTTTATTTGTATTTGCATTTTAGGTGTTTGGTTTTGCTGCTTTTTTGTTGTTGTTCTTGGGTTGGGGTTTTTTGTTTGTTTTGTGGATTTTATTATTTACTTAAATGGGATTATATGTGATGTACCCTAGGGTGGAAAACAGCATTCAAATAAGAAAAGAATCTCCCAGATCTTAATTTTTGTTGCTCTCTTATCCACTGGGGATTTACCTGTATCTTTTGACTACTGTGTCTGGCTTTTAAACTATCCACCTCGCGGCAGGCAGGGTCTTATTTATGTGTGAAGCTTAACCCTGTACGTGACTTGAGAGAATACTCTTGTGTTTTGTAACACCCACTCTTTGAGAGCCTCTAGATTTCTGGAAGAGGCACTGGATGGCTGTTGGAACCCCATCCTTGCTGTCACCCCCAGCACTGCCAGAGGGGTGTTTGCTCTCCCACCCTGTACCTGCAGCTGCACTCTCCCCGTGTGAAGGTGTCAGGGCAGCACCCCAGCCCTTCCCCAGGGCCAGGCTGTGCAACCAGTGCCCAAACCACTTCACCCACCAGTCCACCGAGCTTGGAAGCCCTCGCTGTGCTGTCCTCCCCTGCACTCACCTTGCCCAGTGGGAAAACCCCTGTGCACAAAATTGAGAACTGAGGGACTTGCCCCGCACCAAATGAAAAAATATTTATCGGGCAGTTATTTAATAAAACTCTCCATTCGTTTCTCTCTAACCTTAGAATATATTTCAAAGGGTCTGATTCTCCTGCTTCCTGTGGCTATTTGCCTGTATATCTCTGAGAAATACCCACTGCAGGCTTTGTGGATGCTTCCTCCTCTTCCTGCAGTCACTGTTTTTGCATGTTCATGCTTATTTTTATCATTCTCCCAGTCTATCTTGATAGTTTGGTGGTTGATTCTTGTTTTTGTTTTTTTTTTTTTTTAATGGTATTCTTCCTGTACTTTAGTGTACTCCCAACATCCATTTTTAACCACAGATGACTCTCTAGTGCTCACTTCTGTCAGGATTTACCCTAGAAGAGGATGAGGTACACGTATTTTCGGGAGTAGCTCTTAGATTTTGTTGCATGGTAGTTTTCCTTTTCCTTTTCTCAGGGAAGAAAAGCAGCTCTCCAGAAGCCAAGCAGAACTGCTGCTTTTTCCTGAGGCTTCGTGTCCATGCCAGGGCAGTAGTGGCTAGCAGTGCTCCAGTGCTCTGGTTTGGGTTTTTGATCCTAATTGCTCTTTCTCTTGCCAAGACTAAGCCTGGGCAGCTGGTTCCTGTCACCCACAGCCCAGCTGGCAGCCCTGGCTTGCCAAAGTCCCTCCTGAAGCTGTTGCTTTCTACTAACCAAGGCTAGTTATGATCCATGGGTCTCTCACCAGCTTGGTGAGACACTCGTGCCCCTTGGGAGAACCAGCCTAGCTGTAAGTCCAACTAGACTTCATGTGGTATCCTGAAAAATCACTGACTGCAGTTGTTTCATGTTTTCCAGTATAAACAAATAAAATTTAGACCAACTGAATATCTTAAATTAACTTACATGGTTTTGGAAATTCTCTGATCACCTGGACCTTTCTAGCAACTCTGCAAAAACATTGCCCTTTTTGCCTCTTAAGAAAAAAGGATTTCTTTTCCTCCTTTAGTCCTCACAAATTATTTCCCCGATCAATATTTGAGCAATTAGTGTTGCACGGAGGGGAGGGGGAAAGTCTACTCGTCTTACAGACTCCTCTGCATGTGCTGGTTTCATCTATTTTTCTCTTGCTGTCCTGAAGGCTGAGAAAAACACGATGACATCACCCACTTTGCAAAATGCTTCTCTGCATATCTGCATGTCAAGTAGGATGTGCACTTCCTCTCCTCCTCGCTGCCTCCACTTCCCACTTGTCCCTGTCCTGTTGGAGCTCAACTGCAGCAATCCCTCTCTTCTGACAGGCTATTTCTCATCCTTTCCCCTGCTCCTGCTATGCCTTTGCCAGTGCAATAATATCACATTTATCCTTGAAAACATGCAACTCCAATTCCATAATCTCATTATGCATGCCTCTACATTCCTTGAACAGCTTTTCTCTGCTGCCCACTGCTCTCTGCTGCTAATCTCTGGATGCATTGCTTAGGGATTGGGGAGGCTGCTCTGTAAGCTCTTTTCTTATTATTGTTGATAGTAGTGACAAAATAAGAATGATAAAAGCCTCTTGGAAATGCATTTGCTACATCTAGAGCGTTCTTCCCCCACATGGGCTTTCTATTCCTGGCCGTCCCTTATGGTGTGCAGTTTTCATTCATCTCTAAACCTGCCTGAATTTAGCATTCAGTAGAGGAAACCCCTCTCCTGAATTGCAGGGGTCACATCTTAGCCATGTCTTGTCTGTCTCTGAGGGTCCCACCACAGGGCAGATGTTGGCTTTGACTGTTAAAGCCAGATTGCCCATATTTTGCTTGTATCTGTGACTTACTTTTTTGTGTGTGTGT